GTTTCAAGTGGTTGCATCGGATCGTTCATGGAATTTGAGTTTGAATTTACATAAATGGTCATTTCAGTTTGGATGTTGGGTTGTTCGACCTCAACCAGGAGGTATATAGAAGTTTACGCTCAGCAGGGAGATAAAGTATGTAAATATGAAAAGAACTTTATTATTTTATGTACATATAAATGTTTATAAATGTATATCATTGTATAGTAAACACTACCCATAATCTTGTTGTTTTTTATGTAATTTTGCGAAGTCTTAGAGTTTATTTAGTGTCGTAATATTTAGTAATGAGTCTAGGCGTTATAGTGTGCTAATAGCTCATGCGTTTTGGAAGTAAGTGGTGCGGTGTGATTGGCATAGTCATTGGGATGAAGCAGTTTATATAGCAAGCGTTTGAAGGTTATGATAGAGTGACAGGTCCTTATTTCCAGGGGTAAACTGTTCCAGATCTTAGAGTACATGACTATGAAGAAGTTTGCACGGAGTGCTGTTTTACAGCTTTTCCTAGATACCTTGCACGTTTGGTTACGAAGGTTGTAAGAGCCTTCCGGTGAGAACTGTATCTCTTTGCTGTCTGAGAATGACATTTTATGCAATATTTTAAAGAAGAATGTTAGGTTAATGCTCAGTCGTCTCATCCAGAGTGGGTCGATACCTAGAGTTATACACCTTGATGTGTAGTCCTTTTCGCAGTCAAATCCTAGTAGTTTAGACGTGAAGTATCGTTGGACACTTTCTATTTTAAGTTTGTCACTTACGCGAGTGCTGCTGAGAATAAATGGACAATATTCAAGTAGTGGTCTGACACAAGTTTTATATAATAATAGCTTCGCTTCGTAGTTGTGGAAATTCCTGAGTATGCATCCTAGAAGCATCCTCGATTTACGCGTCTGTGTCGCCACTTGCTCGGAAAATGTCAAGTCACTAGAGTACCTGAGTCCTAGGTCAACAACACTTTGTGGTTTAGGCAAGTCGATGGATTCAAGTACCAGTTTAATATTTATTGAGGGTGCACCGAAGCATATCCAACCACATTTTTTAAGGTTGAATTTTAGGTTCCATGTGGAGGACCATGCAGTTACTCGATCTAGTTCTTCCTGAACAGCTTTCTGAAAGTACCCTAAGTCATCACAGTGGAATGTGTAAGCTACTTTAAGATCATCTGCAAAGATGAATGGTTTGCCTAGTGAGAAACAGCTGCATATGTCGTTGACATATAGAGTGAATAGGAGGGGGCCTAAGACGCTACCTTGAACTACTCCAGAAGTGACTGGACTAGGTTTAGAGTTTACAGAACCCAGTCTAACTACTTGGGACCTATTGTTAAGGAATGATTCAATCCATCCTAATAATGGGTTACTTATTCCTAAGGAGTTTAGCTTATTTATTAGAAGCAAGTGGTCAACGCGGTCAAAGGCTTTGGATATGTCGAAGTAGATAACAAGTACTAGTTGTTGTTTGTCGCGGCTGCTAGTTATGTAGTTAAAGAAGTCAACGTGACATGTCATGCATGATCTGGATTTTAGGAATCCATGTTGGTTTGGACTTAGAATATTGCAGCTGAGCATATGTTTGAGGATATCATCTTTAACTATTCGTTCAATGATTCTAGATACTATGGGTGTAATATTGATTGGCCTATAGTTGCTGACTTCAGTTTTTGATCCGGATTTGTGTTTAGGTACTATAAATGTCGTTTTCCATTTATCTGGATAGGTTTGGCTTTCTAGGGACATTGTAAAAATCTTAAGTAATAAAACGGAAATGTCAGAACCACCGTGTTTATAAAGATACGATGGTATACCGTCAAAACCGGCACTACTAGAGTTTTTAAGAGTATTAACGGCTTGGTTAATATTAGAGTAAGTGAAATGAACTGTAGTGATTTGTTTCAGCGTTGAAGATGAAGGGAGTTCTACTGTAGATTGTAAACCGAGAAGTGGACTTGTAGGCTTAAGGTAGTTAGCTGCAAACGTCTCATTAAACAGTTCACACATGTCTGCATGTTTGCTGTATAGTTTGCCCTTGTTTATAAGGAGAGAAATTTTATGGCTTTGGCGATTCATTCGTTTCTTTAGTATTTCTGTGAGAGCACCTACTCTGGTGGTGCTGGCTAGTGCCGTGCATTCTTCATTTCTCATACGCAAGTTATGAGCTTGCGAGATGGAGCCAAGAGTACTAAGTATTGACCCTAGTGTACTAAAGTCGTGTCGCCTGAAGTAACTTGTTGACAGTCTTTTCAGTTTCCTACGATCCTTTGGCTTTATGAATGTCTTTCTATGTGGGGAAAACTTTAGTGTTTGAAATGGGATGACAGCATCTAAGCATGTGTTGGAGTTATAGTAAAAGATGTCTAGAGCTTTCGAGAGGCTATCAGTATAGAAGTACTCACTCCATTCTGAGGATCTTAGCATTGATTTTACTAGAGTCCAGTCTGCCTTACTGTAGTTCCTGTAAGTTATTTGTTGTGAAGTGGGGGTATGGGTTGCATTGCTACTTGACGGAAGTGGCAGTGCACACAGCACTGTTTTGTGGTCACTCCCTGAAAACTCAGAACCTACTAGGGTAGAAAGGGGACTTATATTGTGGCAGAAGATTAAGTCTAGTACGTTATTACCTCTTGTAGGGGTTGTGACGGTCTGCTTCCAGCCAAGTATATCCAGTGTGCCTAAGAACTTATCAAGTTTAGTTGGACCTGTGGGTATTTCCCAGTTGATTTCTGGTAAGTTAAAGTCCCCACATAGGATCTTATGATCGTAGTGGAGGGTGGATAATTGTTCTAGAGTATTAATAAGTTGGGTCTCGTAATTACTAAAGGTGCCAGGTGCTCTGTAGGTGCATCCAATTAATACTATTGCGTTATTTAAGTGTAAGTTAACCCATAAAGTCTCAGGCATGTTAAGTGTACTACTTTCTAGCCGTGATACAGTAAGTGCATTCAGAAAGTACATAAGACAACCCCCTCCCTTACCACCTTCCCTGTCACACCGAAAGTGTGTATAGTTATCTAAGCTTATCTCTTCATCCAGTATGTTCGAGTTACACCAGGATTCAGTGATGACAATTATAGGGGGTTTGTATATTACTGTGAGTGCTCTGAGCATCGGTAGTTTATTTAGAACGGATCTAGCATTTATGAGGATTAGGTAAAGATGAGATTTGAAATAGCATTTGAAGTACTTAAGTTCGTCAATCAGCCCCGAATGTGGTTCAGCACCCAGTAGTACTGTTTGACAAGACGACCCTATGTTGAGAGGAGTTTCAGCATCATGTTCACCTATGTCTATCGAGTTGGCGTGTGCTGTTTTCGGTGAAGAATTGAGCGTTGGAGTACTGGATGTGCTATAGGCTAAGGCATTTTTATTTTTAGTAAAGCTAGAAACGGGGGTAGGGATCTTAATTTGACCTAAACTTGTGCATGTACCAAGTGTGCTTAGTGGATGCGGGTGAGCTAGACTGTTCCTACATTCATGCAAAGGGGGAGCCAGCACTAGTGGTTTAGGAGTGTCAGCATCCCTACCAGCTGTTTTTTCAACGCTGACAGGGACGCAGGGGATAAAAAATGATTGGGACCTTGTGAAGACCATGGTCTATTATTCCACCTATTGTTAGGTACTAGTGGTGTCCTTGTAAGGGTTTCGAATGTACTGCTTTGTGGGTTAGTTCCCAGCAGACTTGTACCGTATATCCGATCAAAATTTATTAGCGTGCCATACTGTGAATGCCCTGAGTTGTTGGTGGTCGAGTTCTGACTATTGTCACTTGTACTCTTGAGGGTGGCATTGTTTGGGCGTTGGTTATCAGTGTGGGCCGTGGTGCTATTTCGCACGTTGTGGGTGCCAATACTATTGACCGTGGGGAATGTGGGCTTACTTATACTGCCATTGTTGTTGTTGGCATGATTTGGGGTCATATTCTTCTCTTTTTTACCAATGGACTTATGGCTAGGAGAGGAAAGGGTCAACTTTCGGGGGATTTTGACTTTTTTTCTTGGATTATTTAGTGACATGTCTAAATCTACGGTGGTAGGTGGTATAGTTTTATTGGCTATTAGATTACAATTTAGCGGCCTTTCGGTTGGTGTCGCTCTCTGAGAAGATAATTCTGTGTGGTTAGAGAGGGGTGGTGCGGTGGATTCTACGGTATCTCTCAAAGGGTTGGGTATAATTGCTGCTTGCAATGTCCTATTGTTTATTCCACAGTTAGACTCAGTGTGATAATTATATACGCGCCTTTCTATGACGGTCTTGTCCACCGCAACCTTTACTAGTTTATAATTTCTGGCTTGCAGTGGGGTGTGTTGGGAGTGGATAAATTTTCTGGCCTCAGCAGGTGTTTCGAACTGAAAACGAATAGGACAACGCTTTTCATGTTGACTCTTGTTCAGCCTGTAGCACTTAGTCTTGGAGTTGGGCATTTTCGCCTCACTAAGTAGGATGCGCTGTACCTTTTTTAGTGCCTCATTATCCGGAACGTTGTAGACAATAGCATTTAATTTAGCATCTAGTCGTTTTGTTACTTCTGTAGTAACAAAGTTAATTAGGTTATCCACCTTAGATATCGATTCACTGTCAAGTTTGTTAAGGTCTACAGTTTTCATGAGAATAGTTGAAGGTGTCAGTTCACAGACCTGCAGTCTGATATCACTGATCTGACCTGATAAATTGGAGATTTTGGTATTGGTATCGGAAATTCCAGGATCTACTGACTTATTGTTTTTTAAGTCCCTTAACTCGGCCTTAAGTTCTCCTATAGACAACTTTAGAAGTTCTATTTCTGAAGATAGTACTGAAACAGAGCTTGAAGGCTGGAGCTTTTCGATAAGCACATAAGGTGTAGGGAGGGTTTCTGTATGAGCAGAGGGTACTGAATTTGGCAAAGTTCTACAATAGAGTCCCAAGGAACGAACGCACAAGTGACCTTGAGCCGACCAGTCAGAAAAAAGGATGATTTTTTGCATAAAATCTTACGTATATTTACATAAAAAAGCATAAAAGACGTTAAACAGGATATTTTTCTCTAATATGAGATAAAAATATCTCCCAATTTTGTATTGGGGTTTCAGTTTTTAAGTTGAACCAATTTCTATACATGTATTCATCCAGATGACTAAAAATAACTTGGTTTTGAAAACCATTTATAGCTTTTATTCTATTTTTTAATCTTCCCCAGAAACCTTCGATGGAATTATTATGAGTACCGGTGACAGGGTCGACGGAATCATTCAAATGGTTCACTCTATGATGTATGTATCCCAATTGTGATATTTGGCTATATTCCGCCCATTCATCTGTGTGAATGGTGGTGCCTGGTAACACTAGACGCTGAATAATAGGGAGGAGGAGTGTACGAGCACTCCTATCTAGAATCAGCTCCATAAACCCTTTGCGAATCTAGGTATCATAAATTCCTAAAACCCAAACGTTATTCGCTCTGGCACCCAGTAAGTGGACAGGAAGAAGATATTCAGGCAAAGTTAAACTTTCGACACCAATAACAACCAATCATCAAAGACAGTTTCAACTTTTCAAAGAAAGTTCCTAGAAGACAATTAATTCAGTGTCGCTTACCAGTATGCACATTTATTCGCGCTAGAATAATAGTGAGCTTCCTCAACCAATAACTAGCATGCGTTCAGGGTCATTGGAACATTCACATGGTCATTGGAACATTTACAATCTTGGGACTCTATTGTTGAACTTCGCCCTGAATTTTTGGGAGTAGTGCTAATACTAGCTGTCAGTGCAGTTTTATCCTCAGTTTCAGCTCGACGCTTACGACATACAAGTGAGTTTTGTGGCTCACTATAACCATTTGTAGGAAGTATGTTGCTTGATGTAGCAATCAACGACTTAAAATTAGTCATCAGTTTTACAGGGGATTGAGTTCGCTGCTTTTTACTTTGGTTAACCATAACTATTTGATATGAGAGTTAATAGTTATAGGGATGGAAGTAGTAGAGGACTTGTGCAAGGATTACAACAAGATAAATTTTATGTAACGAATCACGCAAAAATGTAACGCAAACGTTAGACGTACCGCTACAGTAAGGTCTGATATAAGTCGGATATAATATACGAAATATATCAGTGTCAAAGTTCGCAAAAGCCTTGCGTATGGCCCATAATATTCGAAAACCCTTAGTGGCTGCAGCTCTACAGTTTGTTGCTGTTTTCAAGTCATGATGCACAACCACTACCAAGTCCTTGTACTCAGTGACCACTGGGAGAGCAATGCTATTCATTGAGCAATTGTGCACGTGACTATGAGATACATACATAACTACACTCTTGCTTAAGTTAATCTCCAAGACCCAGTGCTTACACCAATCACTTAACAAGTTTAAATCCTCCTGAAAAGCAAGTTGATCACTGTCATCGTGTAAAGCCCTCCACATCTTGATATCATCAGCAAACAGTAAGCAGGATGACTTAACTACCGATGGAATCTCACTAACATAAATCAGGAAAAGAAGTGGGCCTAGAATTGTGCCCTGAGGAACGCCACTCTTAACCGATTCCCATGTTGATAAAACCCCGTTAACTCGTACTCTTTGTCTTATGTCCTTTAGAAAGTCTTGAATCCAGTCGGAAACCACTTTATTGATTCCCAGACTACCTAACTTTACTAGAAGACCTGAATGAGAAACCCTGTCAAACGCCTTGCTCAGGTCGATGAATATGGCATCCACCGGTATATTAGCATCAGCTGAGCTTGCCCAACTTTCTCTGGCCAAAAGAAGGTTGGTCAAGCAACAATGACCTGCTCTAAAACCATGTTGTTCCACATCGAAAAGTTTGTTCCCTTCAATGAACTGAATGATAGCATCACGAATTATTCTTTCTAGTAGTTTAACAACAATACTGGTCAAACTAACAGGACGATAGTTCTGAACTAAGTTTCTAGATCCGGTTTTGAAGACCGGACTAATGATGGCATCTTTCCAGTCAGTCTCTGAGACATTTAGACTGGTCCGGAGACATATTGAAGATTACCGACAATGGCTTGGCTATGTTTTCAGCCAATGCTGTTAATATACGTGGGTGGAGTTCATCAGGGCCACTGGATTTACCAGGATTGAGCCTTAGAAGCCACTTTAGGACAGTATCCTTTCCAATGTATAAGGGTGCCATTTTCAAGTTACCTTCTGGAAAAGTTACAAAGCTGGTATCAATATTATCAGAGAATACTTGACTAAAGTGCTTGGACAAAGCCTCAGCCTTAGTCAACTTGTCCTCAGCCATGTTTATCTGGTCATCTTCAAGCATAAGAGGTGGGATAGCATCACTCTTACGTGTTCTTCTCTTGATATATGAGAAGAGTCTTTTTGGGCAGCCTGGTGAACCTTTAACTAACTGGGTTTCGTAAGCTATCCTTGACTGGTGAATCAAAGTTTTACACTGGTTTCTGGTTTCACAGTATTTCAGCCGGAACTGCTGTAGCCCAGTAGAAACAAAGAGATTCCAGAACCTTTTTCTCCGTCTTAGGAGTGTTATAGCTTGTCTATATATCCATGGTGGCCGATTTGTTGGCCTTTTAGGAACCCTCCAGGGAATGAAATCAGTGGTAACCCTCTCAAGTGTATTCTTAAATCTATCCTATTCATCTTCAATGGATGAGACAATATTGACTGACCAGTCGGCAGTTGAAGCACGCTCCTTTATAGCGACTATGTCAGCATGCCAAACACTAGGTCGGGATTTGGGTTGAAAACTGACTAAATTGCCAGTCCTTAAGTTAAAATCTAACACCCCATGATTACTGTTTCCTAGAGGTGGATGAATAACTAGACTATCCACGTCGTCGTTGTCATGAGTAAGCACTAAGTCCAGCAAGGAAGATCCTTGGGTAGAACTGAATCTTGTACTAACTAAGACATGTTGTGTCAGGGCATTTTCCATGGTAGTCAAGAGTAACCGGCTGTCAAACTTATTAGCGGATCCTGGAGATGTGACAACTACCCAGTCTATATGAGGTGCATTAAAATCACCTAGAATAAGACAGCTACTGTGTTTACTCCATTGTTTGAGGTGATCTAAAATAAAGTCATCACACTAACAAAAGGGACTTCTATACAGAACTCCAATGAGTAGAGTGCCAGTTGCAAAGCTTACTTCACAGCTAATTACCTCACTTGTCCCACTGTCATACGCTTCAGATTTCACGGAACGAACATGTAGGGAGTTGTTGATATACAGAGCAACCCCACCACCCCTATGACCCTTAACCCTGTTGTTGCGGAAGCAACTAAATCCGCATAGCTCAGGTGTGTCATCTAATCCAGAAACCAGCCACGTTTCAGTAATGGCCACAATACTTGGGCTAAGGTCTTCCACTAATACACCTAGCTCATGAAATTTGTTCCCGATACTGTGTATATTAGTGTACACTACCTTCAGGCTACCTTGGAAGCATACGTTTCCAAGACCTGACTATTTGAAAACCCACCAGTTTAAGGTTAGTCTCATCATTTTTACGTCTTGTTTCTAGCTGGGACAAAACTTCTTTTCGTTTAAGTCTGTCTTCAAGAGATAAATCAGGTCTGACTGAAATTCCTGACCCAGCAAGTTTGTGTACATTAGCCAGTAGATGATTCCGTTCATCAGGAGGACCTAAGACTACCTTAAGCAACCTACGCTGATTAGAACATTCATCATCTCTTTTGCCTATTCTAATCAGCTTTCTATTCGATACTCCAGGGAAATTCGCTGAGAGCATCTTCCTTATAATACTACTCACTAATTTAGGGTCGTGATCGTGCCTTTTCACGGGATCAGATTCTTTGGACTCTTCTAAATTTCCAACAATTATGTTAAAGTCTAAGGAGAACTTGTCGTGTTTAGCAGTGGCTACGTCTTTTCTCATCACTATTGATGCAGCGTGGCTACAGGTGACAGGCGTTTGCCTACCATCAATATTACTATGTTTCTTCCGATTGTTTATTTTCGTTACCCACTGCCTGCAGTTGCTTTGCAGGGCTGCTGCAGTTTTCGATGGTACAATCAAGATCAGTGTCTGCACCACCTTCATGGTGAACTTCGCTTACAGTGTTCTCTGGTGCTGAGATGCTGTTCGCAGCTACCGTTCTGTTACCTTTTCGCTCACTAAGACGCTTCGAACGCCTAGTAGGTTTTACTTCCGGGGTAACTGGGATAGTAACCGCCGGTGTGGTAACATTCATGATGGCACTTAATGCGTCATCTTCAGATGGGCAGTCTGTGTCACTCTTACTAGCCACGCTATCATCAGGAAGTTCCATGGCTTTAGACAGTAGTTCGTGAGCCTCACTTATTAAAGTCATCTTTGGGGAGCAACACATTCTGCATATCCGGTGGGATGTTGGAGCATTACAACGTTTGTCTGCAGCTGGACGTAATCCAGTACATATCTTATGATACCACTTTTTACAGTTATTAAATTGTATTCCATCGTCTACCAAAAAGTAACACTCCACCCTATTACATTTATGTGGTACTTTTGACATAATGAACTTCTACTGGAACAGCCAAGACAATTTACCCAATAGAGACTATATGAGTGGTTAAAATCAAAACTACACAGACAAAAGTCAAGTTAAAGTTTTAAAAAATGTTCTTGAAGTGAATAACACAACAAAAACAGTGATTTGTCAAACAGCACGCGTGTAAGCCAATGGAGGAAAAACTAGGAGAAAAGAAACAGAAACAATGAAATTTACATGTGATGTCAGTTAATTTTCCCGCCTATCCCCCACCGCCTTTGCTTTCAACTATCAATGTGTATGCAAAAAGATGAAATAAGTTTAAACTTGGATTCCAAGAATAGTGATGTATGCATGTATATGACGCTCAAGACAGTTTGATGGTTTAAGTTGTTTGTAGGGAAATGAAGTGTTCTTATTTTAACGTGGAATTCCTGGCTGCTCGCAGCAGCACGTTGAATGTGACTACTTATCGGTTGGTGATGTGAGTGTCTTCTGTTTTCTTGATATGTACTCCTGGGCGACTGACATTACTGCTACATTGTTTGTATCTTCATATGTCATCGTGTGTCTGGGTGACAAAGGGGCATATATGCCTCTACCTAGTCGCTTTTGAAAGCGACAGTTATAACAGTCGTTCCTTCACCCAAAAGCTGCCTTCGAAGCCTTGTAACATCCTGATTGTTCCTTTTCGATCTTGTTGAGTGCGACAAGCTGGCTTTCTATGGTGACGGGTGTGGTTTCATGTGCACCTGTCTCAAATTAGGCGGGTCTCGATATAGGTAGATTAAACGAGAACAGAACATATGCTTGTGTCTTAAGCTTGCATGTATCAAATGCATTTAATGAGCTCTGTAATTCTAATTCCAGTTTATCTACCTAATTTTATCTTATTCATAGTACTGGCTACTTTATCTG